GAGCTTGTTCTTGACAGCTGGTTTCATTATTAACACGGGGATAGGCCATGTTACATGATGCGTTGTGTTATCACAGGAGGGTTTAACCCATGGGCGTCCGCTGGGATATCAAAGAGTTAATGTCAAAGGCAAGAGGGGTGATGGCATTGAGGCAAAGAGCTGGGGGGGGGGGTGTTGCCGGGTTAAGGGTTTTTTTTCTTTTCTGAATTCAATGTCCTTGAATACGCACGTTCGTCCTCTGGGGGGGGGGGGATGGGGGAAAAGGGGTGGGGGGGGGGGGGCAACCACCCAAGGCGGAATAATTTAGGTTTATGTAAAAAAAATTAAATGCGCGCCAATGAATATAGAATTTGATCATGGTGACTTAACTTTGTACTATGTAAATTAATTTATACTTTACTTGGTAGTGTGTACTTTATTTTGTACTGTGTACTTAACTTTGTACAGTGCGCCCGGTCTCCGCCACGTGCTTTCACTCGTCTTAGCAAACCCTAAACGGCAAACCTTAAACGGCAAACCTTAAACGGCAAACCTTAAACGGCAAACCTTTGCTCTGGACATCATGTTCCCAGTCGGTGCACCTTTGTTCTGGACAGAATGGATGGTGTAGTCATACTGATGTTGCCAGAAGATGCTTGAAGGTTAGTGATTCGAGGATAGCGGTGGAAGGCAAGTGATGAAAGGATGGGATAGAAGGACCGATGCTGGAAGAGGATACTTTAAGGATCGTGATTGGAGGATAGCGGTGGAAGGACGGCGGTGACAGGATGCTTTAGAAAGCACGGTGTTGTGCTGATGAACAGAGCACAATGATGTCATTCGTAGACCCGATGAATACAACAATTGTTAAGATTTTTTTTTTTTTGTTCTTGGTATTTAAGTGTAGGAATAACCCGTTAAATAATGGCGCCCGCCATGAGTGAATTTCCCGGTTGCTATGGTTACTTAACACAACATGCATTCAAGTAACGCATTTATAAAAAAAACTCACTGGAGTTTTGTACGGGAGTTTTAATTTGTGCGCCTATTGTACACAGCGTTACTGCCATACCTAGGGGGAAAAATATTAGTTGTTATAATTTACATGGGGTTAAATTTTGATATCAGGTAATGAAACTAGAAAATGCGTTATACTAACACAATCTGTCATACTGACACAATCTGTCCTACTAAACTCGGTCCGTCGTACTAGCGCAATCTGTCATGCTAACACGATATGTCATAATAACGCAATCTGTCATACTGACACAATCTGTCATACTGACACAATCTGTCATACTGACACAATCTGTCCTACTAACACAGTCTGTCGCCCTAGCACAATATGTCATACTAACACAATCTGTCATACTAATACAATCTGTCATACTAACACATAACAGGTTTTGTATTTTCACAATTAACACGACAGAATACACTTTTACTCAAAATTGTGCGTATTATTTCCCTTGCCACTTGACGTACGTACATCATACACTTGGTCATGATGCAGACATGAGATTCTCTCATTTAAGCCCAACATGATCATCATCCTCATCATTATTTTTGTTTTTCTCTTTCAATCCAACAGAGAAAGACCGCCACTCGCCGTCGGCCGTGAAGAGAAACGACAAACAGCGGCGGTTCAACCAGATCATGTCCAGACACAATCATTATAGGGACGAGCAGGTCTTCGTGGAGAAAATGTTTAGAACCTTCGACATGAACTGTGAGTAGATGCCGCCCTCGTTGAGTTTTAATTTGATCAAACATTTTTGCCTTGGATCAAACATTTGTTAATTTGATCAAACATTTGTGCCTTGGATCAAACATTTGTTAATTTGATCAAACATTTGTGCCTTGGATCAAACATTTGTTAATTTGATCAAACATGTGTGCCTAGGATCAAACATTTGTTAATTTGATCAAACATTTGTGCCTTGGATCAAACATTTGTTAATTTGATCAAACATTTGTGCCTTGGATCAAACATTTGTTAATTTGATCAAACATTTGTAAATTTGATCAAACATTTGTTAACCTGATCAGACATTTGTTAATTTGATCAAACTTTTTTATAATTTTATCAAACATTACTTAATTTTATCAAATATTTGTCACTCTATCAAATAGAAGCTGACCTTTTTTTTTTAAGGATGCCATTCTACTTTCTACTTTGTCTCGACAAATAATCACGTAGCACTACGTCAGAGAATCAATAATTTCGTACTTCTAAATAAAGACAAGGAGATGAGTTGAAGTTACAGATGGGCCAACAACAGATTTTATCCACGTGGATACCAGCCAACGTGTCGAATCACGAGGACCTTCCATTATTTAACGTATCTCCCTGTTCACGGTCGAATTAATTCTAAAATTCATTAATACAATACACGTATTGTAAACAAACGTTTCCCAGACTTTTACGTTCGTCCGACCGGTGGATAAGTTTGGACATTGCATCAGGGACCGGACCGGTGGATAAGTTTGGACATTGCATCAGGGACCGGACCGGTGGATAAGTTTGGACATTGCATCAGGGACCGGTGCCAGGTTTACTTGAGCCAGTCCTGAATTATGGCAGAATTATTATAATTTAACCATTAGAATTGATGTTGCGCGGACCGGTCAACTAAGACTCGAGGACCGGCTCCGGCCCACGGACCAACCCTTTTGGGGGAACGCTGCTGTAGACTATGGATTATTATAAATGAAATCCAAGCCTAAATATTTAGTCTTTCAAATGAAATGCTTGCAGTCGAACACCCTTACGTATAACTTATGATGAGGGTGAAATTAGAGCGACCTAAAAGATTGCCAACTAACATCTAAATTTTATAGTTACCTTAAAATTGTGTATGTTATCAAACTCAAAATTATTGTTGAATTCGAAACGATCGGGTTAGGTACCCGGGTGCAATCGCTCTGAATATAAAATGTATAATGTGTGGCACCCACAAACAGTGCAAAACGTGTTAGGTTAAGATTCATCTTCATTTTTTTTTTCTTTCTCAGTCGTCATCAATCTTCTCTCATTCTCATCTTCAGGCATTCATCTCCTCGCCTTCATCTCGATCTCATTTTACATCTTTTCTCATTCTCATATTCAGGCATATCATCTCCTCGCGTTCATCCCATTCTCAGCTTTTCACCTTCTCATGTTCCTCTCCTCCCCAGCGGACCAGGTGATAGAGCGTGACGAGTTCCGGGCGATCCTAATGATGCTGGGCATTGTGAGCCATCTGCAGTGACACACGGACAGCTGCGTGGGCGGGAGGGGGGTCAGCGGCCACGATGAGCTACCTGTTGGCGCGGAGCGGACAGGACAGCGCATCGCGGGGGCACACGGCGGACAGGACAGCTCGTCGCGGGCGCATAGCTCACCAAACGGTGCCCGTAGCTAACCAAAAAAACTTGTCTAGGGGAAGAGCACAGGGCAGTAGCAGTACACCTGTGACGTGCGAGACGAGCCGTCACGTCAGAACCTTTCATTTCGACGACACAACACTAGGACAGCGATCGGCCAACGGTAGAGCCGCAGTGAATCAGCCAAACAGTTTTAACAAAAAAAAGAGAGTGAAGATTTCCAAGAGACGCCCACCCACCTATAAGTTTACCATTTCCAGCGATGGCCAACAATGACTCGACAACTCTTAGGGGGGTAGTCCATCCGTTTTGTTTTTTTAATCAGGGAAGTGACGTCACTAAGGTCTTTTTCTTAAATTTTTGTAGTCACAAATTCAAACTTACTATCTTCATATAATTATACTGTATCTCAATGCCTTCAGAATTTACTTTGTTTTAAAGCAGAAAAGTTAAATTATGTTTGGTCAAGCGTTATCAAAGTCAAAGATGTAAACAAGGTGTCATTAAAAAAAATGTGACGTTCTGAGGTTGATATAGTCGATGATTCTTACAATAGTCGAAGGTGCTTCAATTCTGAAAATGTTGCATATTATTTTTTTTTTTTTCGAACTTGTCACATAATTTCCATGATAACAAATCGCCAATTCAGTCAGACCAATTACAAACAAACAAAAAAAGCCATCAATAGAAAAGAAACTATGTCATTGGAGAGAAACAAATTAGTGCAATGGTTCTATATATAAATCAAGATCAGGGCAGATTAAATTACATTTGGTTCAGTGTGTGGTTTACACAGGTCAACGTGTAGGCGATAAAGCCAATGTGTGAGTAATACATATACATGTGTGAGTGACGCCGGTCAATGTGTATATGGCGCAAGTGCGGTGTCAGGAATCAAATTATGTAAAATGTAAACTATGTACTTATTTTTTTTTCTTCACAGTTTTTCCCATTTTTGTGCAGATGTAGATATTTTTTTTCATTCAAATCATCCATTTTCATTGATGCGACTTGTTGCTGGCGATTTGTAACGGGTAAAGTCGGGGGGGGGGGGGGGGGGGGGGGGGGGCTTAAAGTAAAACCTGTTAAACTTAATGTCGGACACTAAGCTGTTACGGGGTAGGAAGGGGGTCACATGTCGTTCACTTAATGGCATCACCTAATTCGTCCTACAAAGTAAAAATTTTTTTACCCCATGTATATTTGCCTACTGTGGTCCTACTCTTTAATTCTAGCTTGAGCTCATTCGCTACACTCATAGATTACCCGTAGACATTTCGTAGGCCGGAGACATGTCATCAGGTCATGAAATCACTATTATGTCAGGGGGTGTTGTTCAAACTATGAATGTATTCAAGTAGATTGAACATTTTCGATGTTCAAATTCAATTCTACCCCCATCCCCAAACACAAATTTTTCCCCCCATGTAGAAATGTTTTTCTTCTAGTCAAAACACAAGTGGACTGGATGCAAGTGAAGACGTAAAGGGATTTTTTTTTAAAATACCATATGTAATAGGACATTATTTTATGTCTAATTTGTTTTCTTAACACGATTTTGATAGACACAAAAAAGGTTGTTGTGTTCGTGAGTCACAGTCTACTTTGCATCAGCTGTGTGCAGCCCCCCCCCCTTTCTTTTTTTTTCACCCCCAAAAAAGTTCAAATTCTTCAAAAGCAAAGTTTCAAGTATCGTTTCCTTATAGCTGGTTTTAATATTAGTCAACAAGTATAGAACTGTACAACTGGCGTGATTGGCAGAAATAGAAGCATTGTCCAGAGTGTCAGGATTGGTTAGAGTGTCGGGATTGGTTAGAGTGTCAGGATTGGTTACAGTGTCGGGATTGGTTAGAGTGTCGGGCTGGTTAGAGTGTCAGGATTGGTTAGAGTGTCAGGATTGGTTAGAGTGTCGGGATTGGTTAGCGTGTCAGGATTGGCCGAAATGTACACGATTTATCGATTGGCAATGGATTCGCCCAAGGGACCGGATTGCCGAAACGGGTCGGAGTTTACCAGAAGACAGAATTTCCCCAAAGATAGAAGGCATTTCCCCAAAGAAAGACAGGATTTCCCCAAAGAGAGACAGGATTTCCCCAAAGAGAGACATGATTTCCCCAAAGAGAGACAGGATTTACCCAAAGAGAGACAGGATTTACCCAAAGAGAGGCATGAATTACCCAAAGAGATACAGGATTTCCCCAAAGAGAGACAGGGTTGCCCAAAAAAAACTTGCGTGATTGGGCAAACGGGTTTGGATTTCCTTACCGTAATAGAAGAAATAAAGAATATAGAAGACATATCTTTTTTAAATTATGAAAATTTAACATCTCCACAACAAAAAATAAATACGTAAATAAATCAGGAAAAGCTAGTTTTAAAGCAACCAAGAAAGCCGAGGAAGGCTGGGGTTTGAAGGACTTTGTATGCAGGAATGCGCCGAAGCCATGCGAAGGAAATGTTGGAAGCGGATATGTTTTGAGGCTTGAAATGAAATGATAGGTCAATTTAAAAGGACGTTTCGGCCAGAAGCCTTCTTCGGCAAGACAAGACAAAACAAGTAACAACAGATGATTAGAATTTTAAAAAGATGTCTATGAAGTTTGAGAAGATGTCTATGAAGTCAGCATAGCTCTATCTTTAGAACCAGGTGTACAGTTTACAGACCGGCAATGTCTCGTGGTTGAAGCATGTGCACGGGGGTGAGGACTTGCCGAGATGACACACTATAAATAGCCTACAGCATAACCTCAACAATCAGATTAGTATTACTGAAGTATAAATGGCAAAAACAAAACAACGTGTGTGCATACCGCATGGTAATCATGCAAGTTACTGTAGATAAAATGGTCATGCATATTTCAAAGATGCTTTTCTTTCGCGTTCGGCGAGTTATCTACTTGGTTGACGTCATAGGTCACAACTGAAAGAAGAAGAAGGAAAAAAAAAGCAACCTGTTTTTAACCCTTTGTCGCTGCTTGCTTTTGGAGTTTTTAGCTATAAATAATGCTAGTTAGGCTTTGGTAATTGAATCAATATGGCTTGTGGAGAAGTGGAGTGTTGTGTACACGTGACGTTTGTACAAATGCTGCCGCATTGTATCGTTTAAAAAATTTAAATGATGAGAGCAGTGTTTTTAATTATTCGATTACTAAATACTCGAATAATAAAATGTATTGATGTAAGAGGGTGAGAGATTTTCGTGAAATGGCAACAGGGGAAGGTGCGAAATGGGAACAAGTGAAGGTGCGAAATGGGAACAAGAGAATGAGCGAAATGGGAACAAGATGAGTTGCAAAATGGGAACAAGTGAAGGTGCGAAATGGGAACAAGAGAATGAGCGAAATGGGAACAAGATGAGTTGCAAAATTGGAACAAGTGAAGGTGCGAAATGGGAACAAGTGAAGGTGCGAAATGGGAACAAGAGAATGAGCGAAATGGGAACAAGATGAGTTGCAAAATGGGAACAAGTGAAGGTGCGAAATGGGAACAAGATGAGGTGCGAAATGAGAACAAGAGAAGGTTTGAAATGGAAACAAGAGAAGGTGTGAAATGGGGAAAAAGAGAAGGTGTGAAATGGGAACATGAGATGGTGTGAAATGGGAACCAGAGAAGCTGTGAAATAGAATAGGAGAGTTTGAAACGTCTAACAATAAAGATGAGGAGTAAGAGCAAGCAATGCCTGTCTTTATTTCTGTGACGATTGGGTGCCTGTCTTTATGTCTGTGACGATTGGGTGCCTGTCTTTATTTTTGTGACGATTGGGTGCCTGTCTTTATGTCTGTGACGATTGGGTGCCTGTCTTTATGTCTGTGACGATTGGGTGCCTGTCTTTATGTCTGTGACGATTGGGTGCCTGTCTTTATGTCTGTGACGATTGGGTGCCTGTCTTTATGTCTGTGACGATTGGGTGCCTGTCTTTATTTCTGTGACGATTGGGGAATTGTTCTTGATAAAAACTTTTATTTCTTAAAGACGATACACCAGTATGCTTTGAATTGATCATTAGCTACATGCCCTATGCCAGTATGTAATAATTCATCATGTCTATGGGCTACATATCAGTACTCTATAAATTAACATAGCCACATGCCACTAATTCTAATGCAGTCATACAGTTAGCGTATTTATTGATTTGTGTCTTTTTCTTTCATAATGTCTCAAATACCCATGTACACTGAAATCTTTACTAGTGTGAACAAGTTTTGAACTGTGGTTTTAAATCCTGCATTAAAACCGTTATAAAATTAACACTGGAAGACTTGCCGAGACCCCAATGAACTCACGCTGTTATTTGCCCTTTTAAACCAAATGTAGTAAACATTAATGAAGATGAACAAATCCGAGAAAAATATCAATATGTCAAGACTTTTGTCATTACAATATAAACTGAAAGGGGTTTGAAAAGAAAAAAAAAAAGGAAAGTTGGGGGTTTTAAAAAAAAAAAAAAAAGTTAATGTGAGGGGGGGGTGGTCTAGAACTACTATATGACATGGTGAAAAAAATATTTTCTGCCATGACATCAGATGTCTAATATGGTTAGATGTATTCTTTTCTACAGTGAGACCTATCTTTTAATGTAATGAGATCTATTGCTTTCTAATTCCATGTATCTTATATTATATTGAGATCTATTGTTTCCGACATAGTGAGATGTATGGTTTTCTTTAATGAGAACCATCTTCTAATATAATGAGATATAATATTAATTCCTATAATGAGATCTATCTTTTAATATACGGTAATGAGAAATATTTGTTCCTAAAATGAGATCTATCTTCTAATATAATGAGATCTATTATTTCCTATAATGAGATCCATCTTTTAATATACGGTAGTGAGAAATATTTTTTCCTACAATGAGATCTATCTTTTAATATAATGAGATATATTATTTCCTATAATCAGATCCATCTTTTAATATACGGTAGTGAGTAATATTTTCCTTACAATGAGATCTATCCTTTAATATGGTGAGATATATTGTTTCCTATAATGATATCTGTTGTTTTTTTTTTATTATAGTGAGTTATCTTATAACCTAAAGCCAGAGTTTTTGTTGTTTTTTTCAATAATTTGAAATTCTTTGGAAACATTTAACTTTCCAATGTTTTCTGTGTTGTTATGTGAACATACTGGAAAGAGGTTTTAGTTTCGATTCTGATATGTCCTCTTCTTTCCAATTGTTTTTCATGTTTTATTTAGACTATTTCGTTATAACGTCCAAACATTATTCTATCGAAGTCCCCGTGTTGGCGTAAAACAATGATGAACAGTTAGAAAATGGTCCCGTTCCATTTTTGTTTTTGGCCCTGAAGTTATAGACGCGATGTCCCACACTATCTGAAGCGTTCTTCTAAATGTGTTCTTCTAAATGTGTTCTTCTAAATGTGTTCTTCTAAATGTGTTCTTCTTAATGTGTTCTTCTAAATGTGTTCTTCTAAATGTGTTCCTCTAAATGCCCTCACCGTGCGTTATTTCCTTAATAGCTTCATCGATAGTTTGAACTGCCGTATTGGTTCGTTAATTAATTTGTGTCTAATTTTTTTTTTATAGTCTTTTATACTTTTCTGGTCCTTATTCCTCTTTCCTCTACTGTTCTGGTCTCTACTGTTCAGGTCTCTACTGTTCTGGTCTCTACTGTTCTGGTCTCTACAGTTCTGGTCTCTACTGTTCTGGTCTCTACTGTTCTGGTCTCCAAGTTCTGGTCTCTACTGTTCTGTTCTCTACCGTTCTGGTCTCTACTGTTCTGGTCTCTACTTTCATTTCCTCTACTGTACCGTCGTCTAGTCTTCTGCCCTGAACGGTTCTGGTCTCTACTGTACCGACCAATCAGTACAACATATCGGCCATCTAAAATGACCTCGCTCTTTCTTTTAACTTAGGCCATGCACTAACGAACTTTAAAAGATAAAACATCTGCTCTGCCAGTAAGTCCTGTCCCACTAACACTGTTTCGTGTGACTATCTATTGTTCTGCCAGTAAGACCTGTCCCACTAACACTGTTTCGTGTGACGCTCTATTGCTCTGCCAGTAAGTCCTGTCCCACTAACACTATTTCGTGTGACTCTATTGCTCTGCCAGTGAGTCGTGTCCCACTAACACTGTTTCGTGCGACTCTCTATTTTAACTAAGATGAAACATTCCACATAGGCGTTTCACATTCCAAAAATTTCTAAAACAAAAGAAATAGATTCTTCTTTTCTACTGGTGTTTACGCATTTTCCATTCTCAGATGCCTTGTGAACACCTTGACCTACTTCCCTTAGAAAATTTAATCTTTAAAACACATTATATTTATTCGGGCTTTTTTTTTTTTTTTCTTTTCTTTGTTCTTTCCTTTTCNTAAATATGTCGACACCGATACAGAAATTAATTGATCTGTAGCAGAGCAGATGCATGATTTTAGGACTCTAAGACTTGACATTCAGGTTCAGACTTATACAGATGTCATTTATTGACTGCCCCATTTCAGACTTATAGATGTCATTTATTGATTGAAGACAATATATGAAGAAATGTGCGCGGTCATTTGATTATAAATTTTTAGATCTAACTAACAATATATATATATATATATATATATATATATATATATATATATATATATATATATATATGTGTGTGTATGTGTGTGTGACATCTAAATAATGTGTTTAAACTGCTGACATCTGGATCATGTGTTTAAATGGCCGAAACCTGGATCATGTGTTTAATCGGCTGACTCCTGGATCATGTGTTTCAATGGCTGACACCTGGATAGCTTGTTTAAATAGCTGACACCTGGATAATATGTTTAAATAGTGTGTTTAAATAGATGACCCCAGGATCATGTGTTTAAACAGCCGACACCTAGATCATGTGTTAAACTCGTTCATTTAAATTAGATACAGGACGCATAAAGAAAGCTGTGGATGATTTATGCCATTGACAACTGACCACGACAGAAACACTTAGACAATGGCATATGACAAGAAAACTGGCCATGGCGCCCCATTCCAAGGCTGGTGGCCTGAAATGTTGCCCATAAATATAAGGAAGAAAACTACCCCCTTCCTCAGGGCACCCCGATTCCTACGCGACTACAAGTAAAAGTTAACAGGCCATGACAAGTACACTGTCCACGACAAGTAAACTGTCCATGACAAGTACACTGTCCATGACATGTACACTGTCCATGACAAGTACACTGTCCATGACAAGTACACTGTCCATAACATGTACACTGCCCATGACAAGTACGCTTTCCATGACAAGTACGCTTTCCATGACAAGTACACTGTCCATGACAAGTACACTGTCTTTGACAAGTATACTGTCCATAACAAGTACACTGTCCATGACAAGTTAACTAGCTATCCATGACAACAACACGTTAACCAGGTATCCATGACAACAACACATTAACTAGATATCCATGACGACAGCAAATTAACTAGGTATCCATGACAACAACACATTAACCAGGTATACATGACGACAGCACATTAACCAGGTATCCATGACGACAGCACGTTAACCAGTTATCCATGACGACAACTTATTAACCAGGTATCCATGACAACGCCAAGTTAACCAGGTATCCATGACGACAACACATTAACCAGGTATCCATGACGACAACACATTAACCATGTATCCATGACGACAACACATTAACCAGGTATCCATGACGAAAACACATTAACCAGGTATCCATGACAACACCGAGTTAACCAGGTATGCATGACAGCAACAGATTAACCAGGTATCCATGACAACAACATATTAACTTGGTATCCA